TTTTTTTTTTTTTTTTTTTTTTTTTTTTTTTTTTTAACAGGCACGAAACTTGAAATTCGCAAATCGAATCGAATAGACAGCTTTTTCTTATTGTCTTGTGTAACAATTCTATCTGCTTAGCGAATAATTCCGTTAGTCGAATCACGTGTAGACAGATATCGCGAGGAAATATCTGATTTTTCTTTCTATCAAAAGTTCTGAAGCAATAATATTCGTTCGAGAAACGGGAAAAAATGCAGCGGGACTAATAAAAATTTCAATTTTATCTCTCTTCGCGTACACCTCAAATTCATTTCGGTGTTACGAAACTGTTTCTTCACGAATGATAAACAACTTTTTATCGAAAGTCTAATAATAAGAAAAGCACGGTGTGTCCCCTTGACGTGAAACTGACGTCATTCACCCGCCGTGAGATAGATCTTCGTTTCGAAAGGAGGAAAAAACGTACGTCTTTGTTACTCGATTATTTTTGAAATACCATTCTTGGAATGAAATAATCGATCTGTCTTTCAGAAATTTTCAAATTCTTCAAACCAAAGCTGAAAAAAAAGAGGAAATTAATTCTCCTTTTTCACCTTTGAGAGAATTATTTCGTCGAGAAATTGATCGAGATGAAGGGAAAATTATTATTGGCATCGGTATTTTCAAAGCGCAAACGTCATAAAGACGATAAAGGGGATAAAAATCGATCGATTAATAAAGATTTATACACCCAAACCCGGCTATAATAATAATTCCAACCAAGATTTACAATGGTGTACGAGTGAACTGAACCGATCGCCCGTCAAAATTGATGAAAACGGGCGCAGCAGACGCGTCGTCGCAGGAGGAGTTTATTCATAGGAGTAACACGTAAGCGAGGTGATATATTCGCCGATTATTTTTTGCATCGGGTTAAAAATATTCAGGGCCGATGGGAGATCACATTTTCCAGTCAATGGAGTACGTGATCGAGGCCTGAGGGGGGACGACGGCAGTTGCGGTGGCGAAAAGAAAAATGTAAACGAACTGGAGGGGGCGGAAGGGAAAGCTGGATCGAGGGACGTAAATCCAGAGAAGAATCGGACAGAAACATCAATCTCTTCCTCGTGTCATTTTCTCTCTCTCTCTCTTTCTCTCTCTTTCTCTCGCGTTATCTCGCGAGAATATTTTTTTTTTCCAAACTTTCTCTCGAATGGATTCGAATCGATTGGAATGTATGAGCCGAGAACGATCGATCTCGAACGACGAAATATTTGCGCGCGGCCACTAAAACTTTTCGAGCGGAAGGGGGATTTCGTGTGGCGGAAACTGTCGCTCGCTTCTCGCGCAACGGGTCGAGATGCGTCTCGAATCTCGAAAAAGTTGCAACCCGTTCTCGGGTTAATCGAATCGGCGCGAAATTTCTTCGGTATTTTTACCGTGTTCCTGTGTTTTCGCGTCTGTGCGCGGATAAATTCGAAGATCGAAACAAGGATCGATGTCGAGGATCGGTTTCTTCTTCTTTCGAGAAATTAAATTATATATAAGAGGGAAGAATTGGGATACGTGGTGTGATCGTTTTCAAAAGGATGAAGAAGATGTTTTTCTCGCGTCTAAGGTGATAAAATCGTGAAACTACGGAAGCAAGTTTGACGATGCATCATGGTAGGAGGAAGAATGTCAAACATTACACGTAAACAGTTACGCGAGGCCCGCGCTGATTCAGCTCGTTAACAGCCTCATTAACGAAAATGCAAACCGGTGTCTCGTACAAAAGTTCCTGCGATTAATCTTTTCTTAATCTCGAAATTTTTTTTAGATTAGGATTCAAAATGGTTTTTTTATATAACGGTATCACTTTGGAAAATAGATTTATCGAAACTTTTCGATTCAATTTTCAAATAAACTTAAACCGCTTCAATTATAAATTTACTAAAGAACTTTTATCACTCTCGACTTTAAGAAAATAACTTTCCCCTATTTTTTCCTTTTTTTTTCCTTCTTTTAAATCTCTTAACTCGTTTATAGATAAAGAATCCTGATCGATCAGGATTCACTCGTTTTTACTTCACGGAACGGGATTAAAAATTAACCGATTATCATTTTTCAATTTTCGACTCAATTTCCTATTCTCGCCATTGTTATCTTCGCTCCATTAAAAGAGAATAACAGAGAGAGAGAGAGAGAGAGAAACGATCGATCGACTCACCTTTACGAAATCCAAAAAATTTTGTCAAACTCTCTGGGATCGGATCGTAGATTATTCCCCTGTTTCGAAGATTTCACTTTGTCGAGCGTTCACTTCCGGTTCACCAGATTCCGCCCGCGGGGAAACGAAACGAATGAATGACCGAAGCGCGGATTCCCGTATCTCCCGAAACTCCTCTTCGGAAACTGTTTCTGCGTCTAGGCTGGCACGAGATAGATAACCGGAAGTCGAGAAAACGCGGCCCTGCTTTACGGCTGGGGGTAACACGCGGACTGTCGGGCCGGACTCAACCACCGTGCCGCCTCTCTCTCCCGCACACACGCTTCGCCCACCTCCCTCCTCCATTCCATTTCTCCCTCTCTATCTCTCGCCCCTTCTCTCCTTCTCTCCCTCTCTCTCTCTCTCTCTTCGCTCGTCCTTCTCTAGTTTCACCCCAATCCTTCCCGTTTATTTCATTTTTCAGATATATTTTTATAATTATCCTGTATTCTTCTCGTCTGTTTTTCCTCTTCTCTCTTCTTTTTTTCTTTTTCTTTCTCTTTTTCTTTTTCTTATTCAGGTATCGATTGGTAGATACGTCTATCGATTTATTTATCGTGATGATTTCCTTCGATTACTCTTATTTCGAAATATCTTTGGTATCCTCTTCTCTCTTCTCCGAACCTTCCCTCTCCGATATCAGAAGCTCGTGGTCGCAACGCGCAAGCCCTCGATATTCAAACGTTAGGAGAGTCAGTCAGAGGCGGTGGGAAAGCTCGGAGTGCGTCCGTTTCGCTCGCCGTGGAAACTTTGTCAGCCAGGCTGAAGAAGTATAATGGATTTTCTCCCCGCGAAGATAATACGAAGTAAAGTTGTTACGCGATAGATCGAATCTCTCTCGCTTCCTTTTTTCTTTTTCTTTTTTTTTTTAGTCTTTGAAAGAATCGTTGTTGTACGTTTGTTTCCGTGGACAAATCGGGGAGATGATTGATTGAAAGAGAGACGAAACGTTTCGATCGTTAACGTTAAATAAACGAAAATCCGTCGTTATTATTTAATTTAAGAGTTGAAATTTAACTTTTTCATTGATATAATTTACGAATTAAACGGTATAATTTTAACATAATGTTTTAAAGTATTATTAAATGATACAAGATATAATATACTTGATCGGATTAATTAATGCTAGACTGTAAATATATTTTTCAATTATATTTTGTATATTTTACACAAATTATATAAGCTAATTTATTTCGAGTATAATTTATCTTGGCAACCGATTGAGATAGAACAAAAAGCGTGACTTCTGTGGTTTTCTTTATTTCTCAAATAGATTTTCGTGACGAGATTCTTTTTCAACGAAAAGTCAGAGTTTCGTTTCGCCACTTTACGCGAATGTAATTTTAATTTCAATTTTACATATCATCGGTTTAACTGTACTTTGCACAAATCCAAACACAATCTAATTGAATAAACTACTTCTAATAAGAAACTTCAATCTCGTATTGGCTTATGCACGAACAATTAAAAGTCTTCGTGTATCGAAATGGAGGACAAGCTGAAGCTTATATATTTTCAAAGAACGCCACGAGTGAGATGAACTGACGTCACTTCGTTAAATCCATCCACGAATTCATAGAAACGAATGGATAACGTTATATCCGCGCCACCCTCGGCGATATCGCGTCGAAAGAAATTCGGCCGACCCTCGAAATGCTGATTAACACGCCGGCCAAGATCTCGTCAAGATACAACCGTCGAATATATAACAACGAGCATGCGATCATCGAATAAAAACTCTCGAAATAACAAAGGTGAACCCCCCCGTAAGGCCGAGTTCGAAATCTCGCTCCCCGGCTTGACATTTACCGGCTTCGACAATTCCCAGACGATAATACTATAATAAACGTTAGGCTGCGTGCACAGACATCAATCGCAAAAAATATGAAACGAATATAGAGACACGTTTTGCTCAACTTTTTATTATAGAAATCGCTAGATTCG